CCCCCTGGATGGGATGCTAGTGCATTGCAAGGTTTTACCCAGCCTTCAGTTCACCAGTCCCTATTTATACGCCTTGGTGAAGTCAAGTAGTGTGAGTGTTACAGTCAAACCAAGTGAAGCGTATCCCTCAAGATTACATGAATTGATTATTTGAATATTGAACCCACCAGTCATTTCAAGAATGCAATACAGAATTGATTACTGGAAAATTGAACCCACTAGTCATTCCAAAAATATGGCTAATGGGTTTAATGTTCAAAAAAATTAATTTAATGTTGATTTTTGAAATGACTAGCGAGTTCAATAATCAATTCATTATTGCATTCCTGAAACGATTAGCGGGTTCAATATTCAAATAATCAATTCATTAATGTAACCTTGAGGAGTACACTTCACTTGGTTTGACTGTAGGTGGTTGTGTGAGAACGAAACACAACATTGAATAGGGCTCAGTCTTGCTAGATCCTGAGTCTAGCAGACTAATCATAAGCCTCCCCAACATCCCCCAGCTCAAATTGTATTGGACACCATTTGTGATAATTGTGAAATCTAGTGGTCCAATTATGTATTTTTGGCATTATCCATTCTATAAAATTTTTAACACAGTAAATTGTTGATCATTTGCCAGCAATAATGACTCCTCTTCACCTGGCCACTTGGTAATCTATTGATATTGTGTAGAGAGTTAAGTTGTTGATCACCTTACATGGCTGTTGGTTCATACTCACTGTTATCTTGTCACACCTTAAACTCATGTTTGTCTTTTTTGTTAGGATGAGAACCCAAACCCAAAAGCATTTCTGTTTGATCTGGCTGCTGTTGTTGTTCATCATGGCAGTGGGTAAGAATGAATTTGACTCTGATTAGATGTCACTTCAAAGTTCTCTTTTGCAAATAGAGGTGGTGTCGTGGAATTGAAAACAAGATGAAATATTTGACAGTGTACTGTCACTAAACTGACTCTATTGTGTTATTTGTTTGTTTGATTTGTAGAGTGAGTGCTGGTCACTACACAACATTTGCATTTCATGAGGGTAAGGGCATTATTTTATATCAAAACTTGTTAGACTGTGAACACTTAAAAAATACATGTAAATATTGAGGCTTTTTGCAATACAACCTGAAAAGTTGAGATGAGCAAGGCAGTATGTCCCAGCCAATGAACAGGCTTATTGGTGGAGGATGAGCTGAAAGGGGTGTGACCAAAGTGAGCTGAGAGAAAACTGAGGGGGGGCTACCTTCCCCCCTATACCCTCCCCCCTCCTCGATTCGCTCAATGGTCTGTCTCTGTGACCTACCGCAATTTTTGAATGCATAATAATCATTACTGATATTGTTGTTTTAGGACTTTGGTATAATTTCAATGACAGCACTGTCACGCAATCAGACGAAGGTCACGTGAGTCGAAGCAAAGGCTACATTTTATTTTACACACGCAGGCATCCCAACATGGCTATCCTGGACAAGATTAGAAAATAAATTTATGTTCATCAATTCGTTACTCAGTAATTGACATAATTTGTATCTAACACTCCTATAGTAAACCTGTTAAACTTTTGTTCTTGAGCTCGATGCGAAGTAATAGGGAAGAAGTTCTTTATTTTCAAAGAATTCCTTTCAATTTGATTCATTATGAATGTCATTAACCTATCCGGAATTGATGCGAAGCCTTCGGGATGACTTACAAGTTCTTGTTCCATGTCTTAATTCTCAATAAGCACATACATGACTTTGTCTGGATTTATTTAGGAGAATATTACTACTGATCGCACAAGGAAACACTTGCACCAGCTTTTTCTGCTCCATAAAACGTTTCTAAAAACGCTAAAGAGTTTCCCGTTGTCGCACGTTCTGCAGTTTATGTTAAAAGGATATTGAGTTAAAATGTCTTTGAGGTGATTCGTCAATTGGTAGCGTGCCCTCTTGCCCTCTCTTCCTGCAACACTCGAAAAGCAGGAATATCTCTTCAAAGTGCCTGTTATAAAAAAAATTGTTCATAAGGAACACTTAGAACTTCCTTGTATTCCCGCACGAAAAAAAAAACAAAGCAATATAATGTGGTATTGCCCTAGTTTATCATAAATTTCTAAATGGTAAAATAACAATTAAATCTCTAACGGAAACAAACTGACTACTACAAAGACGTTATATTTCTCAGAATTTATTTTTTAAAATCTTTGGTTATCTGTTTTCGCTATTTCTAACTCGGTCACATCAAGCTTGTAAGGCGGGTCTTTGTGGCGTAGAAATATATATTTCAACTCCGATGTAATCCAATTCGAGCTGTTTTTTCCAACCTAGTCTCGTAGAATTTGAGCACGGCAGTCGGTTCCATTCTCGAAACAACTCCCACAGTTTTCTTCACCACTTTTTTCTTTGACCTTTTTCGTAGTTTCCTTCGAAGCCTCTTTTCGTGTCGTCACGCAATGCTTTCCCCCAAAACAGAAAAGTGGCGTGACAACTCTGCTATGCTTTTCTGGTATTGCTATTCTTCTAAATATGTAAGAAGGAACTATGAGGTCCTGTCGTTATTATTGTATATAGTCAAATAAAAATGTCTGAAGCACTGTAATTATAGTAAGACGAGATGTTTGTCCACAAGCTCAATGTAAATAACAATAAAGTGCACTTTTCAAACTTGTTTAGTAAGGTGGAATTTACAAACTTGTTTTAAAACTTAAGCTGGGTTCCACAATATATTCAACAAATTTCTATCAAGCATAGATATCGTGAGCAAGAAATCCTATTGCCTCAGTATAAATCTACTGGTCGTTTAAGCCTTAATGTAAATCCTCTTCATAGACACTTGGAAAACTCAAAGAAACGGCCGCCAGTTTGTTAGCAACTACATGTCTTGGCTACTCACTGTCTACAGGATAGTGAGTAGCGTAGCCAATCAGAGCGCGGCATTCGTGATAGAACGCCAGTAGATTTAAGCTAATATGCGATATTTACTATCTTGGTTGATCATTCGATGCATTTTTTTTCTTCCCTGTCATTGGGCAAGAGCCAACCACATGACCTGCAAATAACTGCCTACAAATAATGGTCTGCTCATGCGTAATTGTAACTATGATTTCTGGTGAGAAATGGCAGATTGCTCCCCTGATAACTCGGTTATCGCAAATTATAATTCATCAAATATTTTCGCTAGCTCGCGATTGGTCTAAACGCGTCACGTGACCGCATATTCCCCCAGCTAAAACCGGGGAATGTCCGAGGGTATTCCCCAATTCTCAAAACGGCGCGTGTTGCGAAAAATATTTGCAAGATAATAAACACAATAGCCTCCATTTTGCGCAAAAAATATGCACGAATATTTGTCCTTGGACATCATCTGTTCATCCGGAAAACTGTGAGCCTTGAGGAACAGATAATGTCCAAGAACAAATATCCGAGCATATTTTCGCGCCAAATGGAGACTATTGTTTATACATTGTTATTATTTTGTCAGTGTCTCGCTGATCAATTATTTGCTCTCCACTGACAACCAAATGGTATGCAGGAAAATTCTTCGCGCCAGATTAGCAACTCCATAGGATGTGCGTATATTGTACGTGATTGGTCAAGAAAGCCATCTCTTTGTTTTGATTGGTTGGTCCACGTTCATGCAACATACGAAAATCTTCTTTTGTTGTTATTCTGGGTGCTGTTTTAATCCTTCACCTTAATTATTTTGTTTTGCCATTCCGTCGAGGTAAATTACTTGCAGAAAGTTAATCTTTTTTTGCAGGAAGTTGAAATTTAAGTTGGATTTCTTGAAGAGTGAAGAAACAGTGGAAACCCGTAGCTTTCAGCTGCTTGTCTCTTGTCATGACTGCTCTATCCGTGGAAAAAGACACAAAGAGGGTATTTCCCGTGAACAGGGGATTCAAACTCTAAAATGACGTCGACAGGGGACAGTCTGTTTCCATCGAAGACGAAAAACGAAAAAAAAAATAAATTGAGCGACATCCCCC